AAATTGATTTCATAAAGCTAGAAAATGAGAAAATCAGTGTGTCAAATGGCCGATCTGCATCTGTAACTTCAAATGAAATCAATGGAACTACGCCATCAACACAAACGTCGTCTTCTCCAGTAGATTATCCTAATGAAAATATTACTTTGAATGGTATATCTAATAATATTAATAACGGTTCCACATATTCTGATGAATCTACGATCAACAATACATCATCTATTGGAACAAATGGGCTGAATAATAATTCAAATACGAATTTACAAAGACAACTTTTTGTTGGAAATGTATGTATTACGTAGTCATGATCTTTTTTAGATAAAATTATAATTAATTATAATTTTGATAATTTATAAATTTAGTTACCGTTTCGTGTACGATGGCAAGATTTAAAGGATCTATTTCGAAAAGCGGGGACGGTGTTGCGTGCAGATGTTGCAATGGGTTGTGACAATCGATCTAAAGGTCATGGGACTGTACTATTTGGAAGTTTGGAAGATGCGAAAAATGCAATTGGTAATTGAATTATTACAGTTGTACTGAATATCATTTATGATGTACTTATTTTATTTAATTTTGGTTAACTTTTACTTTTTATTTAATAATATAATATAGCAATATTTAATCATTATAATTGGCAAGGTCGTAACCTTGAAGTACGTGAAGACCGAGGCTTCGTAGATTCAAACGGAGTTAATAATCAGCATAATCATAACTCAAATCCTCAGAAAATTCATCAGGAGACTCGCCAGATGGTTGATCCGGTTCAAAATCCCAGCCACGCACAAGCTCCATACGTACCAAATGCTCAAATTGTTTGCCCGACAGGAATTTTCTTTGTAAGTACATAAAATTTGACTCTAAATGTATTATTGTTTTTATTCATTATAAGGATATTTTATAGCCCACCAGAGGAATTCATGTACCACAATCAAACTTTGCTGGGAGATTACTTTTTGTCGGAAATGTAAGTTCAAAATATCATAATGTTCATTCATAGTTATAGACTTAATTTAAAATTTTCGTTTTACAGTTGCCTTTTAACTGTCAATGGCAAGATTTAAAAGATCTCTTTCGTAACGCTGGTAATATCATTCGAGCTGATGTTTCAACAAATTATGATGGGCGAAGTCGAGGTTTTGGAACTGTGTTATTTGCAACACCAGAAGATGCTAGAAATGCTGTTGGTAAATATGTATATTTTTTTATTTTATTTCATTTTTTTTAGTACATAGATTGATCTGTTGTTGTGACTACTTTAATAGGAATGTACAATGGTTACGAATTTCAAGGAAGAACGTTACGCGTTCAATTTGATAAATTTTCATTACCTACCTTACCACATCATCATCATCATAATCCACACCCACATCCACATCCAGTGCATTTACCACCTGTGCATCCACACCATCGACCGCCCCCACCTTTGATACCAAGCATTGCCCATCATCATAATTATCATATTGGTCCACCGCCAATTCCACATCCACCTTTCATTCCTCCAACGCACATAGGTCCTTTTTCACCGCCGTTAGCCACACCGCCTCTAACAAGTCCGCCCCCTTTTCCTACAACGTATAATCCATTGGCACATATTAACAGTCAACCAAATACAAATTCAAATAGTTCTGCACCTTTTCACCCAATTCCTATTCATCATGGCATGGGAGCAACTTCTCAGCAATCATCTAGTCAGCCTCAAAACATTCCTCAAGATCAAGCGACTGCAACGACTGCTTCTCAATTTAATGGTTTTGGTCCGATTGGAAAAACTAATCACTCACCACAACCAAATACTTCATCATCATCAATCTCAAATTTAGGAGCTATAGGTTTCCACGGGACTTCAAGTACGGCAAATGGAATAGTTGTCACAAATGGGACAGATAATAATTATGGGACCGGGAATGATAATGTTATTCACAATATAACATCATCTTTT